TACCCCCCTGTACATTACATTAGTCTCCTGTATGTACCCCCCTGTACATTACATTAGACTCCTGTATGTACCCCCCTGTACATTACATTAGACTCCTGTATGTACCCCCCTGTACATTACATTAGACTGCAAGTTTCCTTTCTCTCCCACTCATGGTTTATAAAGCTATCAGTCTTAAATATTTTCAAAGCAGAATGTTTATCAGTTTTTCATGTATTTGAGTGTCAGTTGCGCTCTAGCAGCAATCCCAGTTGGTGGATAGCACTCTGTAGAACAGTTTCCCAATTGGTCAATCGGTCCATGTTTTCACTCCCTACCAGACAGTCCACATTTTTGCTCCCTCTTACCGGGAGCTGGGAGGAAGCTAATACATGGACTGTCTATGGATCCCCGAGAAACAGATTGGGAAACGCTGCTGTAGAGGGCCTGGAGCGGCCCTCTGTTATCCCTGGGGTTAGTGGCCTGGGTGATCTCCACCCTCCTGTCACCTACCCTCCAGTTGGGTTTTTCACGGAGAGGGAACCAAACTGGAAATAAAACCATGACTGATAGCTGTTGCTCTGCTTTGAAGATGCGCCAAGTCTCTGCTGTGCCTTATTTATACTGTATAGACTCTTATGCAGAGGTTTCCTTTAGGGGCAGTTTGGTGGTGCCGTCTTCACTATTGCGTTTCCTGTGTTTTGTTCATTGTGTTGGGTTTTTTTTTTTATCTGGGTGCTCATGATATCAGCTGTATAATAAGTGAGCAGGTTTCTTCAAAATGTTCATGTTTCAGACGCATGATAAAGCATGTGGAACACATGGTACATAAACAGATGGTCCATTTCTAAAGGCGTAATAAAGTAGGTCAGCACGAGAGTTTATGTTGAGGTTAGGGGGACAAGCAGAGTGTTAATGGACGTGCTGTCAGCTAAATACCAGCCTTGGGCCACATTGGCCTCTGTAGGCCGTTTCATGCAGCAAGACTCAAATCCAGAAACTCAGAATTCAGAGTCTGAATAAATGCCCATGAGCGGCTGGGGATGGGGGGTGGGTGTGTTTATGAACCCATATGACCATGCTGCCTCTGCCCCCCCCCCTCCTCCACAGCACGGAGGAAATCAAACTGTGTAAAGGAGGTGGAGAAGCTACAGGAGAAGAGGGAGCGACGTCGGCTCCAGCAGCAGGAGTTGAGGGAGAAGAGGGCCCAGGTAGGAGGGCTGTGGTGACCCCCCCCGCCACCCTCCCATCGTGATGCGCCCCCCTCCCTCCACAC